ACAGCACCAGTAGAACAGGTTTTTGTCCTAAAAATTAATGCTATAAAGAGAGTTTCTTTTTAACCCTAAGAGTAAAACTCTATCATGAAGGAAATGCGTCCTAAACACCCTGCACCTTCAGTAGGTTCTGGGCTCCCTATGTCATCATGTCTCCTGTCTGCAGGGGTGCTATATACCTGGGATCTCACTACACTCTCTTCCCTCTTTCAGAATCTTATAGTAATTCATTGTCAAGTTTTCAGCTCTCACAGGAAGTGGTAATTAGCACTGACGCTCATGGTTTTGTTTGGGTGCTGAATGGGTAACTGAATGTGGTGGGTTCCACAGGAATATAGAAGTTTACCCAGGCCACCTCCAGGTACTTGTCCAATGCTCTCTATTACTTACTCACTGCAGACTTTCAGGTGCAAAAGACAGCAAGGTGTAGGTCAAGACTGGAGGGTCACTGCATTTGGTAGCACCTAGGAATGAAACTTGTGGTAAATCACCATGGTGTGCAGAACTGCCTAACCTTATCACTACCCTGTGTCTAACTGATTCATGTAATTGATTTTATTCCTGTGTAATGCATCCAAGGAAGTCTAGTTATTGTTTTACCTTAAAAACCAAACCAAACAAACAAAATCATAAAATGTTTCAATTTCTTTATTTTTGGCATTCATGTTTGGTACATAAATTTCAATAATAGTCTAATTATCTTGTCTTCATTGAAGGCATGTGGATATTTATCTATTACTGACAACATTACACTTTTTCTAGTATAAACAGCGAATTGTTCTTTTAGATTAATATTAAACTTCTGTTTATCTTCAGTTTGTCATTCCTAAGGTGATAATAAAAGTTTTTTGATAACTTAAACATGTCAGTGACTTGGCAGTTGAGAAGCAAATATGCCCCATGATGAAAACTATTATAATATAATCAAGTCTATGGAGAAGTCTGAGAAGAGCAGCAGATGTTGAAAGGACATTTGTTTGTATGTGTATACTCCTTAAAAAAAAAAAAAAAAAAAAAGGCTTGTTTGCTTTCTGATGAGTATTGATCATACATTGTCTTTTATCCAACTTCAAGTTCTTTAGACTTCAGTCAGTGGCCAGATTTAGCATAGTGGTTATGAATCAGGTGGCAAATCACAAGGTCAGCAGTTCAAAACTACCAGTTGTTCTGTGGAAGAAATATGAGGTTCTCTGCTCCCATAAAGATTTACAGCCTCAGAAACCCTGTACAGGGTCACTATGAGTTGGAACCGACTCCACAGCACATAACAACAACAACATTCTGGAAGTTAATAGCAGCCTGTCATCATATCTGCTGGAATTGCCTGTATGTCTGTGGATCTTTGTTCATTAGCATAGAAAACACAGGAACTAGAAACGCTTGATATCTAATGCATGAATTTAGCTATGACAATGAATAAAACTGTGTAAGCCCTTTCCTTGATATAAATGTCACTTTACCATGTGGAGCAACCATCTTCCACTTATATATGTATAAAATGGAAAAGCATGATAAGCATGGAAAGATGAGGATTTCTGTTCCTGCAAAAATGTAAAGTATGGCAAATCCTATATAGGGGGGTTATGTGCTGGAACCTTCTCCATGGAACTTAATAACAATACATACATGTAAGTTTGATGATTTTTGCTTTAATAGAGAACCCAGCTTAAGACACCATAGTAAACCATAAGTGCTGCATAAGATTGTAGGTAGAATTCTGATCCCCATCCAGAATCTTCTGAAGAGGGAAATTTCCACTTGAAAAGAGAAGGAGACCACCCTGGACAGGTAGAGGAACAGAAGATACTTCTAGAAAGAAAGACCATCAGGAAAAATAAAAAATAAATAAGGGCAGTCTGATTGACTACTACAAAGGACAAGTAAGTTGTTTGCAGGGGAGCCATCAAGGCAAGCAATCACATCCAACAGGGCTAACTTACTTCCAAGGTTGAAACTTACAAGGGAAAACTAGCAAAATAAATTAAAGAAAATTAGAAACTATACAAAAACCTTAAATATAAGTCAAGATTTTTTTTTTTTACAATTTAAAACAAAATCACATTTTACTTAGATTGCAATAAACTGTACAAAATTGATTTTCTTCACCAAAGATATCAGTAATTTTCTGTATTATTCCTAGATAAACATTAAAATATTTAGTTTTGTAGGTTTCCTGGGTTTTGCTTATAAATCAAAATGAGGCAATAGGTATAGTCATGGGAAAAGACAGAAGAAAACAAATATATCAGTTATTAGTGTCCAAATCCTTTGATTCTGTCTTGATCATGAAACAGAAGTGTTCAGCATATACCTGCCACAGTTTTTGAAACTGTAGGCTCAACAAAGTAATATAAAGAGCAGCAACCAGATGTGGAACAACAATTGTGAATTCTTCCATTTGAACTTCAACTAATTGTTCCTTTAGTTTCATTTGATAAAGAAAAGATCTATATTGAAATCCTTGTTTGATGAGATTGTCTCACTTTAGTAATTACTTTAACTGTCCATTACAGATTTTTAACATGCTTAAAATTCTCACAAGTCAAAGATAAGTCTTGAGATTCATTGTTATATAAAACTATATTCCTTCCTCCCAAAATTTATTTCTCAAAATTTATTTCTTAAAATAACTGTCACTTAATACCTGATAATTGTATACACAGTGATAATAAATGTTATGTCTAAAATGGCATAACTAAAACAATTCCAGAGTGTCACAAAAAAGATTACAAAGAAACAAAATGTGGTACTTTAAGGCTATCTCTTGGAAGAACAGATGCATCTTCAAAGCATGAGAGTTCAAAGAGATGCCATTTAAACAGGGAGATTATCAATGGCTAAGTTGTTGATCATGACAAGCTATGGACAACATTGAGAAGTATGAGTATTCCAGAACACTTAATTGTACTTCTAAGAAATCTGTACCTAGATCAAGAAGCAGTTTTTCGAACAGAACATGGGAACACTGAATGTTTTAAAATTGGGAAAGGTGTGAGACAGGGTTGTATTCTTTCACCATACTTATTCAACCTGTATGCTGAGCAAATAATACGAGAAGCTGGGTTCTATGAAGAAAAACGTGGCATCAGGATTGGAGGAAGACTCATTAACAACCTGCGATATGCAGATGATACAACTTTGATCTCTGGAAGTGAAGAGGACTTGAAACATTTACTGATGAAGATCAAAGAGCACAGCCTTTGATATGGATTACATCTCAATGTCAAGAAAACAAAAATCCTCACCACTGGACCAATAAACAACATTCTTATCAATGGAGAAAAGATTGAAGTTGTCAAGGACTTCATTCTTCTTGGATCAACTATCAACTCTCGCAGAAGTAGCAGTCAAGAGATAAGACAACGTATTGCACTGGGAAAATCTGCTGCACAGGAACTTTTTAAAGTATTGAAGAGCAGAGATGTCAGCTTGAGAACTAAGGTGCGCCTGACCCAGGCCATTGTGTTTTCAATAGCCTCATATGGATGCGAAAGCTGGACAGTGAATAAGGAAGATCGTAGAAGAATTGATGCCTTTGAGTTGTGGTGTTGGAGGAGAATACTGAAAGTGCCATGGACTGCCAAAAGAACCAATAGATCTGTTTTGGAAGAAGTGCAGCCAGAGTGCTCCTTGGAGGCCAGGATGGCTAAGCTTTGTCTCTCCTAATTTGCATATATTGTCCAGAGGAAACAGTCGCTGGAGAAGGATGTCATGCTGGGTAAGGTGGAGAGTCAGAGAAAAAGAGGAAGACCCCTAATGAGATGGATCGGCCAGGTGGCTTCATTGATGGACTCAAGTGTGGCAGCGGTAGTGAGGTTGGCCCAGGATCGGACATTGTATTGTTCTGCTGTGCATGGGGTCGCTATGAGTCGGTTCCGACTCAATGGCACCTGACAACAACAACAAGTTGTTCAATCAGGCCTTATAGACAAAGATACTCGGTGATTAAGTGGGCTCCATAGACCTTACAGGAGTCCTGGTGTAGTGCTGTGGGTTAATGCGCCAGACTGCAAAGCCATTTGAACTGCAAGGTTGGCAGTTCAAGCTCACCAGCTGCTCCTTGGAAACCCTACACAGGTTTGCTATGGGTTGGGAACGTCTTGACGGCACTTAACAACAACAACAACATAGACCTTACAGGTTTTCCCCCACATATCAAATCTGAGGGTGGGGGGGGGAACTATTTTAGAGCATTTCTTAGATACTTTCAATGGTTTCTGAATTAGTTTTAGGAAATTCTGACTTAGTTGTATGAGTTTGATATATGTGTTGACCATTAAACACAGATCATTATGTTAAGCAAAGGCATGTTACTTGACCTTTGGTCTGTCAAAGTGTTCCTTGGGTTTGCTTTAAGACACCTTCGTCCATTTTCATAGCGCTCATTCTCAACCTTCCTCATAAGAAGTATACACAAGACCTTCAGCAATGCATAAACTAGGAAATAACTTGATGTCAGACAGATGGAAGGGTTTATAAGTGGTGGATGGTATCTCTATATCTTTTCATCTGTTTCCACTTAGTTCTCCAGCAATGAAGCTCCACGGACAGTGTGTCAGGATTGGGTAAGTGCCTTCTCTACATGTCAGCATGGTGTTCCTCTGACATATTGAATTTGGGTTGTCCCATGACAGAAGGTACCAGAAATAACCATTTAAGAGCTTTGAGGTACTGTTCTGAGAATATATCTTTAAGTTATTCAATAATGTGTTCCAATGTTGTGACAACTTAGGGTTTCTTTATAGTAACTCTCAGAGGTTAGCTGAGCATCCAGGTTACCTTGTTGAGCTCTACAGAATTTTCCAGGGAGTTTCATTTGAATATCCCTGGATACTGGCAGATGCTTCTCCCCTGCTATATCCACCATGTCCTTGGTGATGATGCAAAAGAAGTATGAGTCTCTCACTTCCCTGAGAGTTTCTTCCTGAATGTAGTTCTCATAGATCTTGATAATCTGTTTCTGTTGTGTTTTTGAACAGAACAGTATGTTAACCACCATCATCTCAAAGCACTTTCTCAGAACCTCTTCCCCAGAATTTATCCGGCAATCTAGCAGAGCTTGAAAATTATAAGAGATCTTCTGGGATTTTATCAGCCTCATGTCCATCCAGAGGTATGTTTTGTTTCTCTATAAGGATCAAAATTTCAAATAAAGATTTTAAGTATCCTTTGTTTGCCTTCTCTTCAAGGGTTAAAGGTAATGTCTTCAGCCTGTTCCTCACCCCATTCTTTGGCATTGAGGTTCTGAGCATTGCTACTGTTTATTTCTTTACATTTTTGTTCGTGTTCAGATATTTCATCATTTTTTTTTTTTTTTTTCTGTTTCATTGTCCTGATTTCATCTTCACTGATTTCTTTTATGAATTTTCTGTGTCTACTATGTGGATTGTTCAGATGACTGATAAGATCAAATATTGTTGGTGTAGCATTATCTTGAATAATTGTTATATAAAGCCTCTCCCAGTGACTTCACAAGTATCTGCTTCTAATAATTTAAGGAACGAAAATAACTCAATCATTTTTTAGTTTTCTGATAAGTCTGCAAAATGTAAGGTTCTACAGATCATAGATGTCTCAATGTGTTTGGCACATAACCGATAATTGTTTTTTAAGCTGATCTGGTGTTTTATCTTCTAAATTAGCTCTCCTGCAATTTTTCACCCACTTCTGGCATCTAGCCGGATCCCATGGGAACCTGAAGAAGACCAGATCTCACTGTATGTTCATCCATGGACTTTTAATAAAGGCATCATTGCCTGCCTGCCCGCTGGCCAGCCCAGCTCTCCCCTCCCTGTCTCCTCAGGGCAGCCCACCCACTAATATGGGCCAGGGAGGGGGCCAGGCCACATAGCTGGCTCCACAGAGCTGGCCTAAATCAAGAATCTTAATACTAAAGTTTTATAAACAAGTAATGCACTGACAGGACAAGAGAGTAAAACTACATAAATGGAATGCTGAATTAGTGAGCTTGAAGACAAATCTCTTAATACTAGTGTACTAGAGAAACAGTCAGAAAAAAGGGAGGAAAAAAATCTAAAGAAAGCCTAAGAATTATGTGAAATACCATCAAGAGGAATAACTTACCTATAATCTGAATTCTGGCACAGGAAGAGAAAAACAATAAAACAAAGCAAAAGAAAAACAGAAAAATTCAAAGAGTTGTCAGAAGAAAACTTCCCTATATCATAACATTATTAAAAATTAGAATCTATATTTTCAAGAAGTTTAACAAACATTAGGCAGGGAGACCCCAAAAGATAATCATTAACATATACCATAAAGAAACTTTCCAAATCCAAACAAGAAAAAAATGAAGTTACCAACAAAGGAATGTTGGGATATTAACTTAAGAAACAGCTGTTCGAATCCACAGGTGAAAAATCGTTCCTTAGAAATGAGGATGTCAAGTCTCCACCTAAAGATTTTTTAACATAATATAGGAAGGATATACTCCCTAAGAGAGTTACATCACACTTGGTAGAGAAAAGGGCCAACATAAAAGAGGAAAGCTTCCAGGTAGATTGACAGTGACTGAAACAATGGTCTTAGCATAGTAATGATTGGGAGGATGGCCCAGGACTGAGCAATCTTTTGTTGTGTTGTACATAGGGTTACCAAGAGTCAGAGCTTACTCATTACAGCAAACAAGCTCAATTTTATCTTAATTTTCCATCTTGAAAAACTCAGACTAACAGACTTTTAATAAAGTTACCTGGTGTGGCATTTTAGGATAAGCACTGGATTAAAAGGTCTGATTGACTCATTACAGAGTTGCTGTAAGTAAAAACCAATTCAATAACACTTAACAACAACAATGCTATTGATAATATGAACATGCTTGTTTTTTCCAGAATAAAGTACACAACAACTGTGAATTAGGTACCCTTGCTAAAGAAATAAAATAAAATAAAATAAATGAATAAATAAATAAATAGAAAGACTAGGAGAAAAAGGGATACCAAATCAGTTCTGACTCTTATATGTACACTTGTGTGAGGAGGATGGGGGTCAGTTTTGTAATCCATTCTGTTTTTAAATGCTGCTGACCCTGCACCAGACTCCCTATTGACTCTCATCTGAATCACTGAGTGTCCTAACTCGGGTATCCAATGGAATCTCTATACTGAGTCTGATCTTTCTGAAGAAGATCCTCAGACTTCTTTCTCAAGGAGTCATGTGGGGTTGAACATCGACATATCAGCTAGTATCAGATTGTTTAACTGTTTTCACACCCAGAGATTCAATGTTCTCTAAACCTAATAGTTTCTATTTTATCTGAACATCATCAGAATTCTGACCTGAGCGCTTAGGTACAGTCATTTTCCCTTCACAAGAGGAAAGCTGCTTTTCATGCATCTGAGATTGTTTCTTGTTACAACTTTTAAATTAAGTTAAGTCAAGAGTAGTTGCAGGATCATTAAGAAGAAAGAAAAAAGTAGAGATTCACCTTGTGGGAAGTTAGTTGAAGATGAATCAACAGATGACAACAGGAAACCAGCCCTTAAACAACAGATAAACCTGCCCCTGGGTCTTAAGCTTAAGCTCAATGGCACTTGAGCTACCCCTACAGCCCAACATCCTCTCTGCAGGAGAAGTTTTTGTTTGGGTTCATACTGACTTCCACATACTGTGACTCTTGCACAGTAATACAAGGCTGTATCCTCCACTCTTAGGTTGTCCATTTTTAGATACAGAGTGTTCTTGCCATTGTCTCTGGAGATGGTGAATCGACCCTTGACGGAATTTGCGTAGTTCTTAGTATTGCTATCAGGATTAATTTCTCCAACCCACTGCAGTCCCTGCCCTGGAGGCTGACGAACCCAACTCATCCAGTAGCTACTGAAAGTGAATCCAGAGGCTGCACAGGAGAGTGTCAGAGACTGCCCAGGCTGTCTCAGGTCACCCCCAGATTCCACCAGTTGCACCTCACACTGGACACCTGAAAACAAAGAGACATCCTGGTCAAGAAAACATACACAAGACACATATACACTGCTTTTCTCACTCATACCCACTGTCATACTCAATATCTCTTGTTCTCCATAAAATTACCTTTTAAAAGAGCAAAAAGGAAAAGCCAGCTTAGACAAAACTCCATAGTGATTTCTTCCTGTTCAGTTCAAGATCACTGATTATTAACACTTCTGAATTCTGGTCTGGGACTGCTCTCCCAGAACTTCAGGATTGGGGCTGGAGTGCTTTTCATAAGCAGAAATAGGAGTCTATTTGCATCTCCTCCTCCTGTATACAAAGTTCTTGGTTTCTTCAGAGAAGATAGTGCCACAGAGCAATCATGAATGTCCTTGGGGTGTTTGGTGGCAATTTAAAATTCAGGAAAAAAAAAACACTTTTTCTTGTAATTCTGTGGAAATGAACACAAAGCTCCTATTACATCATTTCATATACAATCGTCTATTGGTATAAAATAATATAGACATTAGTCTTCTATTTCTTTAGTTTCTTTCTCAGTATATATTT